TGTTCCTGAAGCTCTAGTTAGGTTTGTTGGAAAGCGCTTGTTACGCACATAACTTTTTTTTTTTTTATATAATCCGACTCACAATTACTGAGAATTAGTGTGTNCGTCGGTACGCCATGGCGGTGGAGATAGCGTTGGCGATTCCGCCGGGCAAAGAAAGGGTACCCAAGGGCTTTCTAGGCCCCCAAGTGTCTTGGTTTTAGTGTGGGCCTCGAAAATGTCTTGATTTTAGTGTGGGTTCACTACTATGTTGGTTTTTGTATGGGAGGGCGCGAAATGGATCGTTCAGTAGAGGTAACCTTGGGTTTAGGGTTCGGGATTTTCTTGTCTTTTTTTGGTATGTTTCGTTTCGTGCCCCCACCCCCACCCTCATGGAAAGGGGCAAAATACGGCCTTGTTTGGCCTGACTACTTTTTTGTAAGTCGCTAGTGCATGCAGGGTAGTGCGCAAGAAAAATAAAGAAATATGGGTTTCAACCCGAAAAACGCTCAAGATTTCAAAAGAAGTATCGCCTAAGACATCGGACACGGCTAAATGGCCGTGTAATCANACCCCCCCCCCCCCCCCCCTCCTTCTACAAATGGTTGCCGCCACCTACCCGGGGGTCAAGCCCATGGACGATGTGCCTCTTCGTTCGCGCGTGGCACGTTGTGGTGAGCCCCCCCCCCCGCCCTACCCTTTGGGCCCCCTTGCCCGTCATGCTGATCTCCGCACACCACTCCAGTGCTCTCGGTCGGTTTCCACTAGAACCTCTCTTGAACCTGCCCGTGCGCGCAAGTAATGCCATTCCATGCCTTGCCTGGTCGTCAAAGTTCTCCGCGTTTTCCCGCCTCGATTTCGTAGGCGTGCATTTGGTGCAATGGCAACTGTTGTAGAGGCAAGACGCGAAGAGCAGCTGCTGCCGGTGCTGCTGCTGCTGCCACGCATGATGTTGAACGAGCACACACAATATGAACACGCTTGCTTGCTTTTTGGTAGTTTTGGCCCCCCTCGAAGGAGCACGACGCGCAACACAAACACGCCCTCTTGATATTTGTGGTGATATCACCCCCCCGGTGTTTGCCATCGGGGTTGGGTTTTCGTCGCTTGGCAACGACGTTGTAAACCAAAACGCCCCCCCCGGCATCGGGATGGGGTTTTCGTCGCTTGGCAACGACGTTGTAAAACAAGCCAATTCACTTCGTAAACTCGGCAACCAGGTTACCGTGTATTTTTTTACTATAATGGTGGTCGAGTAGATCATGTTGTGCGGGGTCGAGAACCCTCACTCCGCGCAAGGGGGATG